CCCCTGTTCCCTTTTAATGCAAACCAAATGAGCTTGCGCCATAATAAGAAGCTTCCCAGAATTAGTTTTCATTTGCAGAAAATTGCAAGGCAAAAAAAAAAAAACCCCTACTTTTATCTATGAATTTCACTCCTGTATAAGCAAAGGAAATAAGGCATTCCCTCCTCCGACATTATTCGGATGACGTTCCATCAGTAGCGGCGGCAAGAAATAACATTGTGCAAATTCTATGCATGTTAATGATAAATAGAAATCCACCTGCTCACAGATAAAATGAGTTTAATTTCACCCCGTCCGCCACCCGCTCCCCCCACCCACCTCGCCACCAAACCCACGCTAGTGCGCCTGCTTGGCCTTTTAGAAATTACTTATGCACAGCTATTATTAAAATAGGGGAGCGAGCAAATGAGAAAGAAGCGCTATCTCTGGAGGGAGAGTGGCTGGGCTTTAAGACTGCTGCTGCCTCTGCAGCAAAGGCGCTCGGCTTCACACAGTCAGCGTTTCTTGCTCATACAAACGTGCCTGCCTGTGTGCGCACACACACACACACACACACACACACACACACACACACACACACACACACACACACACACACAGAGTGCAGCCAAGCCGCACTCCCGCTCAGCTTTTGTGGCAGCTGCGACCCTGTGTTTACTAAATTAACCCAAATCCTTTTTGGAGAGTTTAATAGAGTAATGGAATTTGCAAGCTTTTGGAGAACATCCCGAGGAGTGTCTATTTACTTGCTAATACTAGCGTAGCAAAGGGACAATGCCTGTGTGTGTGTATATACGCGCCACAGTGCAGTCTGTCGACTTGGATTTTTGAGCGAGATAGAGAGCGTACACTTGTTTTTTCTCGAATGTTGTTGTGGGAAGAGAAACATGTTTTGAGTTTGCCATGCGTGTCTTCCTTCCTGCTTGCGGAGGACTTGAAAACGAAATGCTGAAAGCCATGGGGCGGGAGGGACAATCACTCATACGCGGTGACTCGAATTTGCATCTGCTTAGATAAGAAAGACGGAGAACAAAAGGTCAGGTGTCAAAAGATTGGGTCGAGAGGACAGAGCAGGAGGAGATTTACGGTGTGGTCAACTCAAAATCAACAAATTCTTTTCAGGCCACGAATGGAATATGATGACAACATCCAAACTGTAACCCCGATCCGCGACTTTTCCGGCAGTAAGCGGTATAAATGTGTTCAAAAGTCATGGAGCAAAAGCTAAGATGTCGTTTGTAAATGCGGGTGAGGCCTTGGGATGATGTTTGGGCCAGCGGGGAAGGCCTGGCCGCCGGCTGGCCCCGACCGCCACCGCCGCCTCCCAAAGAGTCATTTGCGTCACGGGACAATGCGTCCGCAGCCTTGAAGAATAGCCGAGCAGTCAATCAGAACTTCTCCGGTCACCCTTCGGGTGACTGTTGGGTTTGCTCTGAAATTGTCCGCCCGCCCAAAGACGAGAGGGGCTTTTCGTCAATCTGGCAGTTTGAAGACAAGCTGCCAAGCGGCGGCGACGGGGCGAGCCGCTGAATGGCAGCGGAGGACCTTTAAATTCCTCATTACGGCCTAACACACAGACAGGACGTGTGATCCTTTTCCATTACTCACTTCCCTGTATTGTCACGCTCACAGAATTCAATGTAGTCCCATTCATTGAGGAAAATGAAAAATGTCATCCCCCCACCCCCCACCGTCTCTCACTGGAACGCTGCGCTAACACTAATTTAAAATGTCTCATCTCCTCGCGCATGTTCAACAGTCTGATTGCCTGGACTCTGAAGAGAGAAGCCGACGAGGAGGAATCCCTCTTTATGAAAAGGCGTCCAGGCGGGAGCCGCGCAGGAGGAAGAGGAGGAGGACTCACCGAGGCGAGAATCTGCAGCTTCATCAGAGTCGGTCAAGCAGGGCAGCCGCCACTGCTGACCGCACAAACCAACGGCGAGAGAGACCGTCACCTTCAATGACAAAAGGCTCTCTTCTTATTCTTCTTTCCTTCCTTCTTCTCTTCCCCGACCACATTGACACTTTCGGCTCATTGCAACAGTGCAAGGTCACCATTTGAAGCTGGATGGAAAATCAAGTCTGTGAAGTGGGCGCTTAGAGGACAGAGATGTCGTTGCTCTACAGAGCACAACTTGTTGAATTAGCTCGTTGGGTTGGCGGTGGAAGAGGAAAGGCGAACGTCCTCCATGGACAGAGGCTAAACACAAAACGGGCACTCCAATGACAGTGGCGGAAGCACTGGAAAAAAAAAAGCGATAGGATTTTGCTTTTCTTTCCTAAAACGGCAATGAATGAGGTGGGAGGGGAAAAAAATGTTTCTCGGCCCTTTTTGAATTTCAATTTCCTTACGTCGTCCTCTGACCCTGACGAGCAGACAAGGAACGGCGGTGACAGAATGCAAAGCACGCTGAAGTTCAAATAGGTTTCAAAACTTTATTTTACTGCCTTTGCCTCAAGGGGCACGTTGGGCGTTTCGGCCGGTCACACGAACGCGGTTAGCAGAAACAATGCGTCGCGACGACGACAATCCCAAGATGTGTGCCAACTGGTGGGGTTTCTTACCTCGTCATGAATCAAAGCACAAGACCCTCTGACTGTTACGGTTGATTTTCTAAGTCACATTGTAGTGCGGACCAAATTGAACTGAGGTTTGCAGAAGAAAAAAAAAGTATTACAAATATTTTGTCCAAACTGCAGTATGATGTGCAGAACACAAACTTCCTCTCGGGAAAATCCATGACACATGGTGATTGTGGCGATTAGTTAGCAATAGCGGTGTTGTTTCATCCACCGAGGTGTTGCATTTTCCTGACTTAAAATACACTCACGCAAAGTTTGTATTAACATATGCTCTTGTTCTTTATATCAATCGCCATACAAAAGTTTTAAAATTGGTTTTGCTATTTTCTATATTTCTTCAACGTTCTTCTTGTCTAGCAGTCTCCTAATTGTAGCTTTGGAGAGCTATTTTACATGTTGTTGCATCTTGGTAAACATTAACAAAAAGCCACAGCCGTACCTTATTGACTCAAACGGAATCGTTACATTTGAAATATTATCAATCAATTACATCATATGTATCATACCCTGCATATCAAGAAAAAAAGAGGGGGGGAGCTCAGCATCATTTCCATTAAAAATAAGTAAATTTTATATATTTACACCTGCAGCTGTTTCATATATATATGTGTGTATATATATATATATATATATATATATATATATATATATATATATAAAAAACACATTTAACATTTTATGAAATTGAAGCAAAGCATGCCTGATGTCTGTGTGGAAGGAAACCTGAACCCAAGCCCCCCCACAACAAATTACTGGAGTTTCTGGCATTATGTTGCACTGCCCTCCAGTGGACAAGAGAAGAGATGCACACCCGTGTGTCCTTGATGCCTCCTCACTCTTGGACCGAGGCAGAGTTGTCCGTTAACAACCCGACAGTAACTCCGATTATCTACTGTATAGTTGGCACTTTAAAAAGATTAAAAAAAAGGACAGACGTACAGTACAGTATGTGACAGCGGCAACAATCACAAGAGTGAGCGTTCGGTATTAGACTTGGCGTTTAATCTGCCCGGCGAGATATCGCGCAGCGCATAGAACCGCTGTGCTGCATTTCTGATGATGGGCCCAGTAATGATCCAGGGTTTGGCAGCTAAGCCTGAAGTAAGCTACTTTTGCCAAGGGTGAGACACGGCTGGCCACACACACACACACACTCACACACGCACGCCGGTTGCGTGTTTGATTATTGAATCAAATATGTGACACCAAGTGGCTTAAAGCGGCCAGTAAGCCAAGCAAGCCAATTTGGGGTGACTCAAACGAGATCATGTATAAAAAATAAATAAATAAAAAAGTTTGAGAAATCATTTTAATATACCGCAGCAAGGATACGCAGAGGAATGGACAGGGAAAGAAACCTATTAACATTCCGTCAAACGTCAGCACTGCTGTGCTATCTCGTGTGAACAGTTCACAAATATAACATACATTGCTGCTGTGTACGAAGCACGAGAATGTTTACGAAGTGGTCCGAGAAGTGCTAAATAGTCTCAGAATACGACCAATCGATAGCTGAAACAACAGAAAGTAAAGATTGAAGGGAAGCGGACAGTTCCCTTGCATTTTATCGGTGGAAATACACAAGTCGTTAAGTGCATGGCTGTAAATATGGATTTAAAAAAGTTCCGAGGTGATGTCATCTGCTTGAGGTCAACTAATCCCGAGAGGGACGCCGCACTTACACGCGGAGTGCATTTGGTCGCCACTTGGGACTTCAAACGGTCGCACTTCCATGCCTGTTCGCCGTCGAAAATTCAAGTAACGTTTTCGAGCTCTTGCGAGTCGCTCGAAACGTCTTCAAAGAAGTTGTGCCGTGACTCAGGTTTTCACCACTCTTGCACCATCGTGGCCGTAGAAAGACCGCAAATGAACATGTGCGCACCGAAATGGAACACGGACGCAAAACTCACACGATTCAAGTAAGACTTTATTGAAAACTGTCCGTTATTTCACTACATTGGTTTTCTTTGGGGGGGGGGGGGTAATCAAGATGCCCAAAAAGCAAACAGCAAAACGAATGAGAGAACGAACATCTCGAGACGTCGTTTGACGCGAATGCGCAATGCACTACGTTAAGGCCAAAAAAAAATTCGATCATCTCATTTTATTTACCATAAAAAACAAAATTGACTCTCAAAGCGTTTGAACATTCTGCTGGATCCTACTTTTGGAGAACCACCCGGATTGTTTTTCACTAACTTAAGGCCAAAAAAAAAAAAATTCGATCATCTCATTTTATTTACCATAAAAAACAAAATTGACTCTCAAAGCGTTTGAACATTCTGCTGGATCCTACTTTTGGAGAACCACCCGGATTGTTTTTCTTTTAGAGATTCACCAATTGTAAGGTTTAAGGGCGTGTCCTTGGCACCGCGGGTCAGTCGCGCAACGCGTGTAGGCGGCTTTCACACGTTCAGGTTTGGTGTCTTTGACGGGCTTCGCCCCGCTTCTTGAACGGCAACCAATTCCGAGCCATACTTTCTTTCCGTCTCCGTTTCCCACGACTTGACTTTCAAATGGAATTGGTTGACTTTTTGGGTTCGATGCCTTTCTCTTTCTGAAACTTGGCAATCTGCTGAAAGATGTCCAAGAGGTTTGCCGGAAGGTCTTCTTTGGACCTTCCTTCAGGTAGCGAGATCTCCTCATCCTGCTCAACTTGGACTCTGGCTGCGTCCGACTGGCTCCAACCGGGTTGCTGTTTTGCAGCTTTTCCTTGCCCGAGGTCGCTCTCCGACGGCGTTTGATCTTCGCCACCTCGAAGGGAAAAATTACGCCCGGAAAAATCTTTCCCTGGCCCTAATTTTCTGGAATACGCCGAATCGGATGACGAGCAGGAAACTCTGCGCTTCCTCTCATCTAAGCTACTTCTTTGGGGCTCAGCGGTCCTCCGTTGATCGCCCATCCCTCTTTCGCTGCTCCTCGGCCTCCCATCTTCTCTGCCTGAACTTGTGCTCCTACTTTTCCTGCTCCTTTCCGGGCTCTCCTTGGTTTCCCTCCCAGGGTGCGACGGCCACTCGCAGACGTCGTCGTCGTCGTCTGAGGATGGCGACAAAGAATACAGACAGATCCTCGGGCCGTTGGCATCTTTGGGCTTGGCGCTGGGCTCTCCCTCCTCCTCATCGGCGGCGGCCCCGAACGCCTCCCACGTCTTTTGGTCGAGAAAGGTGGCGGAGGTGTCGGGAGGTGCCGGGTACCACTCGGCCTCCTCGTCTTCCTCGTCCTCCTTCCTCTTTCTGCCACGCTTTCCCTCGTCACTCCTGCGCCTGCCGCTGCGGCGCTTGCCTCCTCGCGCCGACTTCCTCTTTTTCTTTTTCTTTTTTTTGGCTCTCCTGCGTGAGGAGGACGACGAGGTGGAGGATTTCCTGGAGGATGAGGATGATGAGGAAGAGGTCGACCTCTTGCGCTTTCTTTTCATCCTGACCAAAAGAAAGACGCCGGGGACCTCTGATTGGGTTCAATACTCACGTGATGCTTAGTTCTCTTCAGTGGCCGTATGCCTAACGAAGTCTTCTTCTTTTTTTTTTAAAGGTACGGAAATAACTCACCTCTTCTCCTCTTTTAAGAGCTTACGCAATTTCTCAGCGCTGCTCTGACTGCTTTTGGCTTTCTCTTCCCCTTCCTTCGCCAGCGCTTCTTCCCGCAGGCGAATGGAATTCTTTACGCACGCCGGGCGAGACAATTCAAGGCACGGTCAACGGTGAGAAATTTAAAATCAGCGCCAGCGCATCACACGGGACAGCGAAGCCGTAGATGGAAGGCGGTTGTTTCGCGGAGGACGAGTAAAGTACGGCACGACGCAAACAAAAGGTGAATTGTTTTTACAGGGCGGAGTTACAGTGATGTGTTGACCATTGAAAAAGTGGCGGCATCCAAGAAATGGGGGAGAGGCAGATTGTCAGACCGAGTTTTGAGCAGTTGTGAGCAGAGACAGAAAGGTGACAAGGTTACCGTTGGTGGATCACGGGCCAGGGTTGGAACGGTACGCAGCGGAGGAGTCGTCATTTTCCACAGTCAATTCCCCCCCGCGTGACAAAGGCCGTGTCAGTCAGAAGGGCAAGTGCCAGGGCCGCAAACAGATGCGCACACACACACACGCAAACAAAACAAAAAAAAATCTCATCAGTATTACAAACCACACGGACGAAATGAACCTCCTAAGAGGAAAAACATCTGCTGGGGGAAAAAAACAAACAAACAAACAAACAAACAAGCGACCACGTGAATGCTCCCGGATGACAAAATGCTCCTGTGTCAGTTCTGCCAAAATGGTCGGCGTGAGCAGAGGCCACTTGGCAGAAATAAATCCACCAGAAGAGTCACATGATAATATTCTTACAGCAAGAATAAAATGTTTTTGGTTTTTTGTTTTTGAACCGCTCACATTTGTTTGACCTGAACATTTTTGCTTTGACATTGAGGCACTTTGTTGTTAAAAAAAAACAAAGACAAAAAAAAAAAACACAACCTGGCAAGAGCGCTAACAACGAACGTGTATTGCGATTGCTTCCTTGCCATCTTGATCAGATTTTCATTTTTTTTGTCATTCAAACCGTGGCTCGGGAAGTCAGCCCCCTTCAGCATGCGCGATACAGGCCGAGACGACTTAGCGATCGAGCGAGCGTGGCTGCACACACGCCGGAAAGTGCTCGCGTGTTGTGGCCCACCCACCTGTATGGTCTCGGTGATTTTTCTCAAGGCCTCCTGAGCTTCGGGGTTTGCGTCATCCAGAGAAAGCGCTCGTCTGTACACTCCTTCCGCTGTCACGAGCTTCTCTTGTTCCTCGAGTCTACGCGGGAGAAACGAGTCGCGTCAAGGGAGGTTTGAGTGGCGCCAATTTGAGAAAAGAGTCCCTTCGTGCTCATTCGCCCATACGAAAATCGTTTTAAAGCGATCCTCAGCCATCTCTGGAAAAACGCGCCTATTTGCCGTTTTTTTGTGCTACGACCAAACGATCTTGG